GCAAACCCAACACACTAAACTAAAGGCCTCAGACAGCGAAAGGAGAGCCATTGCTGATAGTGTATTTCTAGTAGTGTCAACTGGGAATTGGTTTTTTTGGCTTGATGCTAATCAAGAGGTGGGTGTTGTTCTCTTCTCCCAAGTAACAAGTGATAGGTCGAGAGGAAATGGCCTCAAATTGCACCAGGGGTGGTTTAGATTGGATGTGAGGAAAAATGTCTTCCCTGAAAGGGTTGTCAAGCATTGGAACAGGTTGAGCCACCATCCCTGGAGGTATTTAAAAGATATGTTGATGTGGCGCTTAGGAACATGGTTTAGAGGTGGACTTGGCAGTGTTAGAATTACAGTTGGACTTGATGATCTTAAAGGCCTTTTCCAGCCTGAATGATTCTATGATTCTAAGTTGTCAGTGTCCTGGAAGAAAACACAATGTTAATTTGTATTATGTTTGTGGGCAACACAAAGTCTGGGCAAGCCACAAGTAATGAAAAGAGGCAAGTTAGCGGTGGAGTTGTGATAGCATGTATGCTGGGCGAGGCAACAAGTTGTGTGAATGTCTTAAAAGCGGGCAACTAGTGGCAGCGCAGGTAGGAGGGCTGGCAAGGGGTGCGCAGTGGCCTGGGAGCTGTTGCAGGAGCTAGGGCTCTTACGGCAGCACGGAGGTTCACCAAACACAAAACCCCAGCTGCACACGGTGGCCAAAAAGTAAATGCCAAAAAGTAAATGCGGTACTTGGACACAAACATGGAAATCCTGAGCAGGGGCAGGGAGCGTGTTATCTCGGTGCAAGGTGCTGCTCCCGTCAATGCAGGAGTGCTGCAGCCGGTGCTGCGCAGGAATGTTGCTGATAACAATGAACGTTGGAGGGAGTTCAGGGAGGACCACAAGAGGGGAGGGCTGCAAAATGTGCCACACAGTAAAATGAGGAGCTCTGTGTGTAAAATAAACACTGGATTTCTTCTTTCTTTTTTTTTATTTTTCTGTTGGGGGAATGCTGCAGTTTAACCCGGAGTTCACTGAAAGTAGTGCAGCAGCCTGCCTTGCACAGGACGTCAGACTGTGCCATCACAGGGTCTCTCTGCTCTGTAACGAGTCTCCACGAGGGAAGAGTGGGAAAGGAAAAGCCATTGTTTCTGCAGAGACAGATGTCTGCATCTCTTCCTACTGAAGCCTTGGGGGTTGTGGGTGTTTTAACTCCAGGTGCCTTGTCCGCCAGGCTTCCAAAACGGGTGGGTTTTCTGACCGAGAGCATCAGCCCTGCAGCCAGCATCCGCCTCTCCTGCACCAGCGCAGGCCCCACAGCTAACCAGCTCTGGGGCAGCACCCCTCTCTTCTTGTTTTTTAACATTTTCCTCCTCCCCCAGCTGCTGCTTTTTCCCTCCTGAGCTGCTTTGCTACACACTTTTCAGGAAAGACTTTTCCATCTCCTCTGGGAAGGGCAGGTAGCCCCTGCCTGCAGCACCGACTGGTGCATGGGGACAGGACTGGAGAGCTTCTCTCTTGCTCCAGAGAGTGCAGAGCAGAGGCTCAGCCTGCCAAAATAATGAGCCTTTCCTTGCCCTTAATATTGCTTTCCTTCTGACTGGCTGTGGTAATTCTGAAAGAAAATATATCTTGTCTTGGGCATCTTGTAAAGGCTTAAAAGTGTGTGTGTTTGCATGTATATAGTTGTACTTATGCTGAGGCTTTGCTTTCAGAGCACTGTATGAATATTAACTATTGCTTCCTTGATACAGGCTCGATAAAGGTCTTTCAGGCTGCACATTGGCATGTGAGAAGTTGGGCTGGAAAAATTAATTATTTGTCCCCTAGCACAAAGAGGAGTCACAGAGGCTGGGAATAGCATTCCTTCTTGCTGTAAACAGGGCACAAATGCAGACCAGACTTCCATGGTGCTCAGTCCCGTACAAGCACATGTAGAATAAGAAAATCCCTGTCTAAAGGGGTTTGTGACCTCAGAACACAAATTTTGGGGTGCCCACAGTCAAGTTGCGATGGGGGTGGACTCTTCTACCAGCTCCCCTGACAGAAGGGGTCTAATCAGCTGGTGAGGCCCCTCCATCGGGCGCTGTGACTATGCAGAGCGTGCCATCGGGCAGTGGACATGGAAGGGAGGATCACAGGGGACTTTGGGGGGAGCAGCTTTGAAGTCTGTCCAATCTGGTATGGTGTCTGAGAGCAGCCAGTTTGTGTGCCTTGGAGGAAGTCTTAAGACAAATGCAATGAAGAGACGAGCGGCGCTCTGCTTTATTCCTTGTCTCAATCTGGGATGCTCTGAAGCTTAGTGGCCCTTCCAAAAATCTTAGTATTAATTAAACCAATTGTGAATTATCGTCACTTGCCTTATCAATGTTTTCTCTTCAGCACCATCCCGTGATGGGGGGGGAGTAGGGAAGTGTTATTGTTTTGGAGCTTGCTGTCCTTAGACATTATTAAGTGGTTCCTGGCTCTTGCATTTTGCTGAGGGAGAAGCATTTTCACTACAATGGCTTGTGTGCTGGAAGGGTGGTGGTAGCTCAGCTCCGGTCATCGGAGGGACAGGAAGATTGAGAGCATGACTTGTGCAATTTTGGTGGGGTCCTGCAGGGTGCTGTAGGTACTTATCTGTTTGTCAGAGGCGTCCCGAGCACATGGAAAACTCCATCTGCAAGGGTGTAGTACACCATGCTCTGATTCCAGATGGAGACTGGCATATGTTATATTTGTAGATGGATCCTATGCCATGACCTGCATTCCACTTTCTTGTCATTCTGTCCCCAAAGACCTGCTCTGAGGTAGTGGTGCTCTGTGTTTACATAGCACATCCCACCCATCAGTCTTAAATTCCATGCACAACATTTTTAATGGGCACTGTGGAACATATTTGAGATTCCCTGTGCTTCAGATTGCTCTGTGGTGTCTTGCGCTCTTCACTTGACCTGCGACTGAACTGCTCTTTCCTCCCCAGCGCAGGAAGGTGTTTCCACCTAGGTGCCCCGGCGCGATGGCGCCTCTTGGTGCCGGGAGGGAGCCTGCTCTGCTGGCTGCGTCCTGGCCTGGGGGAGGAAGGCTGTGGTTCCTGGGGGAGGAGGGTTGCGATTTCCTGGCTGCTCATTTTTCTCCTCCCTTCTTTCATTCTTTTTCAGAACATGAGTGAAAACTTGAAGGACTGTTTGATCCAGACCCAGGCTTCCTTAGGGGAGATGGTGACAATAAAAAAAGAGGCCTGCTCTCCGCACCGGGACCAGGAATATGGACAGCCTTGGTACGCTGCTGAGCCTCAGTCTGATGTACTCTCACCCCCTTCTCTCCACTTGCCCCCACAGCTTAACGTTATTTTTGAGGGATACACTTGAACCTTTCAAAGTTACTAAAACCCTCCCTTGTGAGGTCTGCCTTGAGGTGTGTGACAGGGTGGTCACCTGCTCGTGCCAGGCACACGTCTGCTACGTATCTGCTAGTTCGCCTCATGCCTTGTGGTGCTGGCATGCTTTGAGGGCTGTGCCTTGCCTCTGAGCAGCAGCGCTGCCTCTCTGCTGGTGGGAGTCCCCTCTGCCACTCTCCTGCCCGGTGTGTGTCATGCTAGGCATGTGCTATGCATGGAGGTGCTCTAGCTGAAGCCGCTACCTGCTGTAGGCTTTAGCCTTAAACCTTAAGGTACTAGCTTTTGGCAGGTTGGATGGCAGGTTGAATCATTTCTCTGCTGCAGGTTGGGGGAGTAAGAGCATTGTTCAGACCCTGTTGCCTCTGCTCCTCTCTGTGTGCAGTCCCAATGTCTTGGTAGGTTAACGTCATCTTTCTGTTGTTCCCTCCCCAGCTCTGGAAGGCCTGACCCGCAGTCCATGGAGGTGGAGCCCAAGAAACTGAAAGGGAAACGAGATTTGATCATGACCAAGAGCTTTCAGCAAGTGGATTTCTGGTGTAAGTGTCATGTGAGTGAGGGAAAAGCAACATCGCCACTTGTATAGACTTTGGTCTTTCCTAGTTGGTACCCTGCTGGTTTGGGGCGGGAAGCAGGGAAGAAAAAAGCCAGAGGCAAATTTGCATGCTGTCCTGAAAAGACTAACACATTTGATAGGGAAGCTGCTGCACAAAAGCAGCTTATCCATTGTGGGGCTGTGCAGCGGTGGAGAGGTAGGTCGAAAGTGTGCTGGAAACATGAAAATGCACATGGGAAAAGCGCAAGAGTCAAAGGCTTGAATTCAGAAACTGCGAAGGGAGCATTATGCATATGACAGCTCTTT